TATAACGCATAATGTAGTCCTGAAGAGGAGAGTAAAAAAATTCCTAATTATTAGAGCTTCTTGTTATATTTTTAAATATATATTTTTTTAAGTTAATAACCACTTTTTTAATTTCTTCAAAGAATACAGTAACTTCAGTTTAAAGGAAAATGTGATAGGCACATTTTACGTCAAATGGGAGTAATGGCGGGTAAGAAGAAGAAGTGAAACTACCTTGAAATTTTGTATCATTGCGATCAGGAAGCATGAATTTGATGAATTGTCATAATTTTATTAAAAGTCAGTCCTTTAACAACAACAACGAATGCCATTAAATGGAACTACCTTTTTTTGTATCATCCCAACAAACGTTTAGGTTTGAGCTCAACGTGAGGTTAAGTTGAGAACTAAGGTATTTCACGAGTATTTAGTTCTTCACTGATCGTATCTCATAGAAGAGCGTACTGCTAGACATCGGAAGTTTCTACTTTATAATTTTCATGTTATTTTTAACGGCCATATTTTTTTTCTTCAAGGTTTTCCGCGAGTTTTTGTAAATCTGTACAAATCAGGCGAAATTATTTATCCGCCTTCGCTCTTAGATTTTGATACAATGCAATTACCGTATTTATCATTGTTGGTGTTTTTGCCACATCGATGGGTTCTTTCTGAAGAAGGTTCAGTGAATTATGAAATGCATGCAATAACACCGCAATGAAAAAATTAGATTTGCCAGCGCATCGTAATACTTTCCACTGCAAATATGTAGAGAATTTCTTCCTCTGCAATGTCGTTTTATTTTAAACATTTTTTGTTCAAATCGTTTGATTTGACGCAGTCAGAGTTCTTGGATAAAATACGTTACTTCTCTTTAATTTTTAAACCAAGTATGTGAATCAACTCAAATCCTTATCAATTAAGTTAAGTTACAATTTTCAAAACGGTGGCAACCTTCAGCAAAAATATTTTCGGCAGTAAGCCTTCTTAAACCTCTTTCTTTTGACAGCCATTTTGCAATATTTAATTTTTCTTATTAAAATACTTAAACTCCGATTTTTTTTTTTATATTCTAAGTTACACCTCTAGCAATACATCGGTGGAAACTGCATTCAATTCCATGGATCAGTTTTCGAGTGATGCGCGTACAAACATACAGACAGACAGACAAATATTCTAAAAATTGTTGATTTGGCTTGTGTTGCTCTAATAAAGACCCCCCTATATTAATTTTTCATTAAAATCTATAACGTACAGACATCGGCCTGTTACAATTTTATTACTTATATTTACATATATAGATTATTCAATTACTTAACTCCTTTCTTATAGCTTCAAAGAACGTGGTGCCCGCTATGCGCTGCTCTGCCTCACCGATCAACAAAAGAAGACCGGAGTTATATCAGCATCGCTAGGAAATCATGCACAGGTCTTTCTTTCATATCAACTTTTAATTTTAAGCATGATACAATAATTTTTAGAAGGTAGTTTCACTTCTTCTTCTTATCCGCCATGTTAGCTATCTGACAGAAAACGTGTTTCGTATTTTTTGTTGTACCAACTTATTCAAAAAAAAAAAAATCCAGCTTTTGACGTTGGAAAAATAAAACACAGAAAAACCAAACATATAAGTAGAGAAATTTTCGAATATTTTGAAATAATTTTCTTCATGAAAAATTAACTGCTGCTTTCGTGGATATTGCAACACACGGAATAGATGTAAGGACACAGCTATAAGAGCCACCGCACACCACAGACTTTATCGGCCGCCTATTTAAATGATAGGGCTCGCTTGAAATATGTACATGAAGATGTATGGAGGTGCGCACATTACACCAGCTTAATCGCTCTGACCAATAAGTTGTGGTGCAATGGAAAGACTAGCGAGCACATCTAAATTGGCGGCCGATAAAGTCCGTGGTGTGCGATGGATCTAATCCATTATAAACAAGAAATATTGCTGTTATATTTTCATTTTTATGATTTTTATTCATGTGATTAGCTGTGACAAAAATGTATGAACAAAATACGTGTATTTATATTAAAAATTAAGTGATCAGTTATGAAACATATAAATCTTTACATGTTCTGTTAAAAAATATCTAAAATAACAAGCGATAATCCCCAAGTTCTATATCGTAGCAGTGGCCACATTGCGTGTTTGTCACAGACACGGTTTATGTCAAAAATTTTGAAGTGAAACTACCTTCTAAAAATTATTGTATCATGATTTTAAGTAGGGGTATTCGTCTAAACATGCAAACTTATGAGACATGTAAAATTTTGAGTTTACACTCAGTGTTGCATCCTCATTAAATAAAATGACAGCACCGACGAAGTATTTGAATTTGCCCTTCGTTTAAATTTATCGTACTTTGATAGATGGTTTACAAAGCCGAATATTTGCGAGGATTAAGCGATTTACGAGGGATTTAAGAGCTTAGACGAATACGCTGAATACACATACAATGCATTTTAAATTCTAATTTAATTGAAACGAAAAATACAACTCTCCTATAGGCGCTCAGTTATCACGGCTGGAAGCTTGATATACCCGTTACAGTGGTTATGCCAAAAGAAGCACCTATTATGAAAATACAAAAATGCCGCAATTACAAAGCGAATGTGGTTGTTGAGGGCAAGGATATGGCCGAAGCTAAGGCGCTCGCCATGAAAATGGCGCAAGACAGAGGACTGCTCTACATCAACGGCTACGATCATCCACAAATTATGGCTGGACAGGGTACAATTGGTTTGGAAATATTAGAGCAAGTACCCAAACCGGATGCGGTGATTATACCAGTTGGTGGTGGTGGACTTATAGCCGGCATTGCAACGGCCATTAAAGCATTATCGCCGGACACTAAAGTTATTGTGAGTTGAGAAAGCGAGATTTTCAACTTAATTTCCAAAACTACAAAAAAAAAAACACAATTTGAAAATTAAAACAGGGCGTAGAATCAGAGAAATGTCCCAGCTTTTCGAATGCGATGGAAAATAATGGACCCATATACACACCACTAGATAATACGTTAGCCGACGGTTTGGCTGTGCCCAAGGTGGGCTACAATGCTTATGTAACCGCCTTGCCACTCATCGATAAGATGGTAGTTGTAAAAGAGGAGTGGATTGCTTTGGCCATTTTACGTTTGGTGGAAGAGGAGAAGTGTGTGGTGGAAGGTGCCGGTGCTGCTGGATTGGCTGCTATACTTGCGGGACATTTGAATGAACTGCGGGGCAAAAAGTGAGTATCAGTAAAGTTATTTTAATAATAGGAGTGCATCGTCAACAAAAACAAAAAAAAACAAAAAAATCGACGTTTATCTACAGAGTGGTAATACTTTTATGCGGTGGAAATATCGATACAACTGTGTTTGGACGCTGCTTGGAGCGTGGACTTGCTGCGGAGGGACGTTTGGTGAAATTCTGTGCAGAGGTTAGCGATCGCCCTGGTGGTATCTATGAACTCTGTGATATGCTCTCACAATTGGGTGTCTCTATCAAGGATATAATGCATGAACGCGCTTGGCTAAAGGATATTCATAGAGTAGAGGTGAGAACTGATATATTGTAGAGAAGCTTTAAACTTAAGCTTTTAAAAATATTTGGTTTTTTAGAAATTTAGTTTTAATTTTGATAAGCAGCACTTCTTTATTTCCTATATTTAAATATTTTCTATTTATAAATCTTTTACGTACCCACATACAGTCAGCTTCAAATATAAGTATACACTGTTTCACGAATTTCTTTATTTATATTTTCCATACCAAATTTTGATTATTTTTTTTAGAAAATTCAATCAAATTCAATAGCAAAAACTACAAGAGAATTTTTATTTTTTTTTCATACGAAACTCGGGAAAATGCAAAAAAAATTCAATTCGATTTCTTAGAAAAATTTTAAGTATGCAGTATGTTTGTAGCCCATTAAATTCTAGTATAATAAAGTGCAAGTTTACATAGCGGCGCTAAAAAATTGCATTGAAAATTTCGATGCAAAATTCTTGCATTTTCCCGAATTCTGTATGAAATTAAAAAAAATTTATTCTGTAGTTTTTGTTGTTGAATAAACTATATTTTTATAAAAAAACCAAAAAAAATTTGCTATGGAAAATATAAATAAATAAAATCGTTAAAACGTCAGGGTATACTTATTTCCGGCGCTCACTAGTATGCGCGTACGTACATACTTATTTCTATAAAAATGTGTTTCTTCTTCTGGTTTGCTTTTAGGTGAAAGTAATTTGTGAGACCCGTGATTGGGCACATAGCATGGAACTGAAAAATAAGTTGAAGAACCATTACGCGAATGTAGAGTTCTCTGAGGAACCTTTGGCCATACATCACAATGCAGTTATATAATTATATATATCTTATATCTTAACTTAAAGTTACATATTTGTACATATCGACCCATTTGCGCGAAATTAGCGTATGTATGTGGCATTTTTTCGAAATCGACTTTTTGATGCAAATTTATTTTTACACCACACAACGTATCAGCCGAAAAAATATTGCAGCTTCTTAATAAAATCCCTTTCGTTGCGCCGAAAATTTACTGTATATTTTATGGTATGTTACTATGACTTTTTTTCTTGTGTGTGAAATTATCGTATGTGCCATAAAAAATACTTAGAACATAAATAAAAAAATTTAAAAAATTTAGAAAAGTGAAAAAAACGCACCCCTGTAAATTTGTCTCCTTTTTCCAGTTTGCTTATTTTTTCCATTTTTTTTTTTGAAAAAGTACTATAAATATCTTAGAAAATGTTGGCAACCCTAATTGAAATCCTCGATTATACATATGCATTACCGGTTCATCTATGTAATTGAACCAAACGAACAACTACTATTACATAATAAATTTTCATTTAGAATGGAAACAAATTGAGAAATCATTTCTATCTCACTTCAAAATGTATTGAAAATGTGCCGTATGTATGGCCGTTTTTGAAATGAATTCTGAAATAGGGCGTTCTTCAACCAAATTCTGAAATAGGACATTTTTGAAAATTTTTTTGAGATAGGGCGTTTTCCACCAACAAGGCGGACCCTCCTGCATCTAGCTTCTGCCACCGTATACCTTAGTAACCGCGGAGGTGGCTCCACCTCGTCCTTGTGCGCCATATAAGCGGAGATCAACCAGAGTTCTCCGGTCGCACCCTGCAGGCTCACCGTCACAATGTCTCCATCGCTGAAGAGGCAAAATAAAAGCATTTAGTTCCTTCCTGATAAGCATGCAGGATCGAGGTCTACCTGCGTCCCGTTGCACCATCAACTTGTAGTCCTTCGTCCATTTACCAGAAACCGTATTGCTCAGCCACGGCTCCTGGATGTAGTCCTGACATCGACTCCACCTTTCTCAATGTGGATTTAAAGGTTTGCTGACGCCGCTTTAGAGTGCTGAAGATTGATCTGTCATCTACTAGTAAAGCACAAAATGAGCATTAGGTTGTAAGTTGCAAAATAACGTGTATGACATTGGTCATGATGACAATTTTGGTACTAAAAGCTGAAAGAAAACATTGATTACCTGGTAAGGTGCTTGCTTACCTATTTTCCCAGAGGAATAGAGGTCGCTTAAATACATCCTTCGGTGCTTCGGCAAAATAATTATTTTTTTTTTAACTGGAATAATTAAAAACCTTTTCTACCGAAAATTAATTGATTTTTGCAGAGCTTTCGTTTACTGACATTAGGGTGGTACGTTAAGGTCATAAGGCCATTTTTCCTCTTCACCTTGTCGAATTCTAAAGTACATACAAATGGGTATTTCCAAACTGGAGTGACAAAATGTTGAAAAAAAAAAACAATTTATTAAGTTTTTCTGGATTTGCATAGCAATTAAATGTCCCCTTATTCAGTAAAAAAATACAACTATAGGTAGTAGCGATTTAAAGATATTAATAAACATACGCACTGGCGTGACGTCTCGAAAAACAGAAGTGCATTTTGACTTGTATAAAAGTTGTTGTAGTATTTATTATTGGAAGTTTCTAAGTCTAATTTTCCAAGCTTTTAAATGTAGAAATCTCTCTGCTGTGTGTTTAATTAGTTATATTAGCTAATGTGACGTTACCTGGCGTTATGTTACTAAAATTCCCATTGAAAAAGTTTTGTTAATATTGTTCTTGAAACAATTTTTAACGGGAAGAGAAAATGCATCTTATGTCGAACGTACTTTTTATTTTGACATCAGCGGCTCCATTGTTTGCAGATCTGTTTTTTACTACGTTAAACTAAACATGCCAAATGTGAAACAAGGCATACATAGCTTAAATACGGTTTTTCCAAATAACTCGACCCTGGCGCCACCTAACGAGACCCCTTTTGGCAAAAATGTTCCTGCTTACTTAACTAATATATATATTATAAAAATCAGCTAAATCGACCTATAAATAAGTTAGATATAGGACTTTTATATTTTTTCGATAGACTTTTCGCTGGAATTGCCCATATGTGGTACAATACCAGATTGCTGAAACGAAGTTGACGCAGATTTGATTAGATTTAAGCTATCATTTGTCGATTACGAGTTTGATATTTCGCAATCATTTCGTCTGGTCTATGCACTATTCGTTATGACAACGATGTGTGGAAAAGATAAGCTCTTAAAATTATATATATACATGTATAAATAAATTTCATCCAAGATGACTGAATACCCATAGTTTATATCGTTACCAATGCACCTGGTATCGAGACTGCTACAAGTAAATAGTAACGATTTTTGCTTATAAAAGTCGTTAGTTGAATATTTTTTTTGGTTTATACATATGAATGCGGATTTTAGTAATTTGGTATTCGGCACTCCTTCAATATAGACGGAAAACTGATCATATTAAAATTGGAAATTCCATCACTAAAATTTCGCTTTTCAAAGATATTTTATATTTTTATCATGATTTTTCTTATTTATTTTGTTAAATTGTACAAATTGTATACATATGTAACTAGTTAAATCTTAAACAATATTTAGACAAGAAAGTTTTCAGGCGTAGTTTTAGTACAATGGATGATGACATAATCGATGTAAACTGTAATCCAAAAAAACCACGTGATATAAATCTTGAACATATCACCACGGCCGATTTACTTTTAAAGGGAGAAGTGGTGAAGACGCCATGCACGGTATTGAATTCCGATATGCATAGTTACTTGTATAGAAAGTTTTACGTTCAAATTCTCTTCCAGCGTGCTGCAAATTCTCCTGCTTATAATATGGATTTGTATTTCAAGAAAGAATTCATGCAAGTAACAGGTAGGTAAGAAAACTATAAATATAACGATATTTTAAATACTAAAAAGTGTCAGCGATCAGAAGTAAGGATGCCGCAGAAGCTTTCAAACTTACTAGGCTCGTGCTTTTCCTTAACAGCGTTTCAAAAAGCCATATTCACAGTGCGAGATGCGGCTAAAATGGAAGACACTGGCATTCTCAGCTTGCACGAAATTGTGACCGTTTGACAGACGAAATACTGATCGATCTTACTTCATCTATGAACCTTCATTGTAGGTGGATAGACCGTCATCGGTTACGGGTAGTACTAGTTATGTCCCATTCTTCTCTGATCGGAAACCGTATAGATACTCCAATATTGCCGTCCGAACTTGATACATCACCTTTCAATTCGTTGCATCATTCTTTAATTGTATATGTATGGTCCTTATTAAAAATAGATTTTACTTCAATTAAAATGCTTTCTTTCGTAATTTACGTACGTATGTCTATATTGCAGTTTCAAAGAACGTGGCGCACGTTTTGCCTTACTTCTACTATCCGATAGGCAGAAGGAAATTGGCGTTGTTTCAGCCTCAACCGGAAATCATGCTTTGGTAAATATTAGTTTGATAGTTGATCGTAACCACAACGAAACTTTAATGCCTTCTGAGCCCTATTTTACAGGCCATAAGTTATCATGGAAATCAACTAAATATACCTGTTACTGTGGTAATGCCCACCTGCACTTCCCGTTGGAAAATCGAAAAATGCCGCTCATATAAAGCAACTGTCATTATCGAAGGTCGCGACATTGCCGAGTCCAGAATAGTCGCATTGGTCTTGGCCAAGGAGCGTCAATTGGAATATATTAATGGCTACGATCATCCACATGTTATTGCTGGTTGTGGCACCATTGGATTTGAGGTTCTAAATCAAGTACCAAAAATCGATGCTATAGTTGTGCCAATAGGTGGCGGCGGACTTATAGCAGGTATGGCCTTAACCGTTAAGATGGCATCACCAAATACGAAGATTATTGTGAGTTCATCAAATGCATCAAAAGTAATTATTTTCACCCCCAAATCAATCGCCGGAACTTCTGCAGGGCGTGGAGCTAGAAAAATGTCCCAGCTTTACGCGTGCTCTGGAGAATAAGTCACCAATTTATACGGCACCAAATAGCTCAGTGGCTGAGGGTTTACTGGTGCCAACAATGGGTTGTAATGCCTTCCCTATGGCATACACATTAATCGACAAGTTAGTGGTGGTACGCGAGTCTTGGATAACTCTAGCCATGCTACGGCTGGTTGAAGAAGAAGGGTGTATAGTCGAAGGTGCTGCTGCCGTGGGCTTGGCAGCAATATTGGCGGGACAATTGAATGAGTTGCAAATGAAAAGGTACAGGATATTATTAGTTGATAATAGCTTAGTATAAATATACTATATGCTTTTATGTATGTACATATATTTATTTACCTATGAATATATGTATTCCTTTTTCTAGAGTCGTGGTTCTACTTACTGGCTGTAACACGGATGTGGTGTCCTTCGGAAGAGCTCTAGAACGTGGCTTGTTCGCAGAGCGTCGTTTATTGCAGGCTGATAGTGATGAAAGTGAGCGCCAAGGCGGCTTACTCGGACTTTTGGAAAAACTTTCGAAACATGGTTTAGCAGTTAATGATTTATTGTCCGAGACTGTCTGGTTAAAGTTAGCCTACAAGATGGAAGTGGGTAAGTATAAGGAAGGTATTTAAAGTCATTAATTTTTAATAAGACCCAATTTCTACAAACAAAGAATTTTTCATATCAGAACAAGCTTCCAAGTTGATAATAAAAGCTAGAGCTCATGATATTATTCGAATAATTCGATTATTCGTATGTTTGAACGTTCGAATAGCAATTGTTTGTACGATTGCCATTCGAATGTTACTATTCGAATAGTTGATTCTCTTCGATTATTCGAATAATCGCAAAGCTATGATTATTCGAATTCCTTTTTAAAATCGAATATTCGATCGTTGTAGTAAACGTTATATATTAGGGACGGTAACGGTTATGCTTTTTTTCAAAAAGTCAAAAAATAATCGTTATTTTTTCATCGATATGTTTTCAGTCAACAATAAAAGTTACAAATTGACTTTTATTTTTTCGGTCAAAAATAAAGGTTAAAATATGACTTTTATTTTTTCGGTCAGAAATAAAAGTTAACACTTGACTTTTATTTTTTCGGTCAAATATAATAGTTAAAATATTTTTTATTTTTTCGGTGAAATATAAAAGTTAAAATTTTACTTTTATTTTTTCAGTCAAATATAAAAGTCAAAACTTGAACTTGGCAGCCAGTTTAAGAACGTTCTATCGCTAAAAACATTTCAAGAACGCCCTTTTTCAGAATTTTATTGAACAGCCTAGCTCAGAATTCAGTTCAAAAACGCCGTATTTCACTTGAAAATGTATTGAAAATGTGTTGAGATAGGGTTTGCACCGGATTCTAAAATAGATGGGAATAATAATTCAAAAGGGCGTATCTCGGTATTAGAATTTATGTGGACCTACCTGAATTAACTATCACATTTAGTTGCGTTCAGCGAATTCCGGAATACACAAACACTCGGCGTGCTTCACTGCGTCTTAAAAGTATTCTTGTGTTGTTACTCCGTCCCAAAACTCCTATGGCCTCATTCATAAAAAGTAAAATCGATTTAAAGAGCTTTATGAATTAAGATTTTTAAACAAAATTTCTATTAATAAAGCATTCTCCAGTTTTTATGAATGGTGGTGTTAGATAATATATTTTCCAAGTGTTTAGAAAGTAGGTAAAATATCGACATTCTCCTGGGAATTTAATTTATAAACTCACGCGCTTTCTTCAGAAGTGGGTTAACTTAATATTTAACTTTTCTTATTAATTTAAGTTAATTAAATTTTTCTAATATGTGGCAATCCTTATAAAATATTATTTTCGCAGTAAACTTCAAAAAACTCTTCAGCTTGAGATTCATATTGCAATATTTAATTCATGTCATCAATTGAATTGAATTAAAATTTTCAAACAAGTGGCAACCTTCCGCAAAAATATTTTCATCTGTAAGCCTTCTTAACCCTAAAAGTGTAATCTACGTCTGCGAGGCGTTTACGGAGTGGGTCTTTTTTTAATTTTAACACAAAATTTACTCTTTATTTTGTTGTTTTAAATAAATGTGGTTATAGTTTTTATTAATAAAACTATGTTTTATTATTAGTCAAACTCACAACTTCAATATTCTTTAAAAATAAGGCAGGACTAAGTATATTTTAGCTCACAGGTTATATTTTAAGTACATAAGCCTCTACGACGTATGTTAAGGCTGTACGTTACTCCCAAATAGATTAGGCTTCTAGGGTTAAATCTAATTCGTTTGACAGCCTATTGCAATATTTACTTTATCGTATCAATTAACTTTTACTGCAATTTTTCATTTCTATTTCTGCAATTTTCTATTTCTATTTTTTGTGTATTTTAAGTTGCACTAATTGCTCTAGCAATACATCGTTGAAAACATTCAATTCCATGAATTATAATTCACTAACTAATTAGTTTTCCAGTGATGCGCGTACAAGCATACATACAGGCAAAAAGACAAAAATTATAAAAATTGTTGATTTGGCTTTTAATTGGCTCTAATAGAGACCCTTATATTGCAATACAATTTAATTATGTGTATAGATTTTTCCCAGATACGTTTTTTATTTTACGGCCCGGCGATATTACTCAAATATTCAATGGGGGTATTCAAATACCGATTTATTGCAGATAGACGCAATATGCCGTCCCACAATTTATTATCTCTGGCTGTATTGACAAAGAAGCTGGAAGATTCTTCACTGAAAACAACAAACCAACAAATTATGCCAAATGAGAGCAAAGAAAACCCCAAAACAGAAAGTCTAGATGAGCCAAAGAAAGGTGTACAAAAGGCTTTAGAAAAAAGAGCAGAAGAAGAGAAACCAAAACGGTTATCCGAACAGTCGCCACAACGAACAAGATATGGAATTCTCGAAAAGGCACGACAGGAGCCCCCATCTGTATATAAGCATAAAAAGTTATCAATGCTGAAACGAGTGGCATCATCAAAAAAGCATCCAGTATAATGTCCGAATAATTTATGTACAACTTTTAATAGGAAATAAAACACACATGTTTGTTAGGTTTTTTTTTTTTTTAATTTATAGAAAATGTGAGAAAATATTATAAGTACGAGCATTATGAAAAATTTCAATAAATCATACATCATCATCATCGTCATCGATGCTTGTATCAGCCAAGTACTCTTCATCATATTCACTCAAATGCTCACCATCACCCACTTTCTTTTGTTTCTTGAGCAAACTTAGACTATAGGCCTCCTCCGCTTCGGGTGTGGGATCGGTTGTCTCTATAAAATCCGCCTCGCCATGTGGATACTCATCCATCACAGGCGCCAAATGAACGAATGGCATATTACGTGCCACATACTTATGGCCCCAACCGATATAAATGGATTCGCATAGCTTATCATAGGTGAATGTGTAGGCACCCGGCCAAATGTTCGATTGCATGACAAGTATGCGTTCATTTTTATTGGTGTACCTGCTGGTGAAGCGTGTTACCCATGGCATGGTGTACTGATCGCTAATATCGAAATAGATTGGATTAAGTATTGGTGGTCCAACTTCGGGTGCGGATAATTCTTCACCCTCCTCATCCTCATCCACATCCTCATCTTCCTCTTCCTGCTCTAAATCTTCCTCTTCTTCAACCATTTCCTCCGTACGCATTTGTTTCCGCAAACCTTCCAATATCTTATCGCGTTCTTTTTTCGCCTTCAATTCATCGAACCAAACCACACGTCCCTGAAGTAGTAAATTCGGACGAACGTGCAACCATTTCTCAAGATTTGTAAGATATTCTAGCTGCTCCGGTTCATATTTTTCATTTTTTAACAGCGTAACATCATTATCTGCAATTGAAGGAAATGATTAGCTTAAAAACGAGCTTCAAGATGTTGCAGCTTACCGATTTCTTCTTCTTCCCCCTCGCCCAAATCATTTGGTTCGTCGTCTTCTTCTTCCTCTTCCTCGTCATCGTCTTCGAATCCATCGAATGCACGTTTTTCCTTCTTCGTCATTTTGCGATAGTAACCATTTGGCGCAATGTACGTACCGGCGGTAATTCGACCGATGAGTGCACGCAAGTAATGCTTCTCTTTGCCCGGAAAGCAAGGATAAGATACAATGTCAGCTTCAAGATCGCCCGTAAGAAACTTTTTAATTTGGCGGCTGGCATTGATTTGTTTAGGTGTTACCATAGGCAACTCTATCCAGTCATCCGAAACGGAGTTCACAACAAAATACGAAAAGCGATTAGCGCCCGTACCTACGATTTCAGGTGGTATAGCGAATACTTCTTTAACTGCGACTATTGGTATCGGCGCAACAACTGGCACCATTTTCTCCAAATCTTCAATCGGATGGTCATCCCAACCCATATTTCCTGGTGTTAGCTCAGGGCCGACAAAAGTTGGTACTGGCTGTTCGGGTGATACCATACGAGCCATCATCGCCTTATTGTATTCTTGTAGCTCCTCTGTCATTTGTTCGGCTCGCGAGAGTACTTCTTCATGCGACAATGATGCCTCCACTACATAATAAGAGGCTTTGAGACCATTCATCATTCCCCAGAAACGGCATTGCATAATCGATGGATGCATTTGTAAACGATCCATGGAGCAAGCGAGTTGAAATATGTCATCTGGATTGATGCCGAAGCCGCATTGATTCCAAAAGAATTGCAAGTGTTGTACACGCTCGTTGAATGTTACGAAACGGCTCATGTCCAAAATATCAAGTTTCAAACTTCCCAAAATTGCCGATTTGGACTCCTCTGAAGGAATTGCCTCCGCAGCCAATGGCAGCTCGTTCGAATCGTATACGGGTAACTGTAAGAATGCAGATGGCATTGAGTATTAGCTAAGGCGTTTTTGTTTCTACCGAAAAATGTTACCAACCACGTAACCTAAGTAAGTAGTAACCTAAATATTAAAAAATAAAAATTACCTTGTCATTGAACTCTTAGCAGAGATACTAAGAAAATCGCAATGAAAAGATAAAATTTGTAGGAAGAAACGAGAACGTCCTTAGTAAACCTCTACAACTAATTCATTTAACCAGTACTCTAGTTTCTAATGAAACAAAACGTAGGGACGTATTGAGGACGAACATTTTATGTTTTTATATCAACAAAACTTTCAGGTTAACTCCATAAGTTCCATTTTTTGCTTTCAAGTTGCATCAAAGACTTAGTATTCTTCTGTTAGCATACCTTCATAGATAAAAGCATCTTTTTGGCCACACGATAGAGGCGACACTCTTCGAAAACTCCATCTGGTGGAAATCGTTCTGGCAGATGTAGCTTCTGTTCGCGTACATTACGACTGAATTCTTCGAAGAAATCAATTACATTTGGTGGTCGCTCATCGATGACTCGCTTGATAATGTCTGATAAGTGATCAAATCTACAAAAGGGGGCATATTAATTAAAATGATCTACGAAAGATGTGTTCACATTATTTATATTTAGCCCACAAGTTATCGCCGCTGATACTGCTATATTTTTGCATAATAGCTTTAGCCACATTCAACTCGTAGCCAATGTTGGGCGGTTCTTTGCGTGTGTGATCGTGCTTCTGGCACTCAGCGTCGAAATATTGGCTCAACAAAGTATTGGACGATGAGGAAGAGGTGGAGGTGGAAAATATAGGCGCACATGGATTCTCTGCCTCATCTGATTTGTCTGTTTTGCCCGGTTTCTCTACTTTGCCCATGAAACGGCCACAAGGAAAATTAATATTGGAGCTTGAAGTTGTGTCCATGGTGAAACCATCACAGGATTGCTTTTGATCCAACTCCATTTCAAATTGCTCTTGCTTTTATTTGATTGGTGAGTTGATCTTTTAAATGAAATCGATGGGATGAATTTTTTCTTAATTTTTGTTAAAAATTAGTAATGAAAAATTAAAATATTTGATACCCCTTTAATAGGCTTTAAAGACATTTGACTTTGAGTGAGTTTTTTTTTTTACTGAAGGTTGGTTGCTATAATTTTTGTATTAGAGTTGATAATGCACATAAATAAATTACCAATGCGAGTGGCCACTTACGGCAGATTTCAAGTATTGGTACACAGGTTTCCAGGAATTTCGTTGAAAACACTGTTCTCCCTCTGTCTACCGCAGTTTACTGGATGTAATATGAAAAATTAATGCGAGTTTCGGGTTTTAAAAACTTTAGTAATAGATTATTTAATTTTTCTTAGCCACCCCAGCTCATTAACTTATGGTCAATAGACCAGGCAGGGTGGTCAAGCATTCCGACAACAGTCAAGTGATTGTGCCTCAAGGAGTCAACAGACAGCAATCCTGAAAGTGGTCTGAAGTCCGCCATCTGCTTGTTGAAAGCAAATACCTAGCTTGACCCCCTGAGATTGAGGGGAACATGAGTTGTGCGCCATGCAGTCCCTCAAGAGTCAGTGCTGAGCGAAACGTTTACCCAGTTTCTGGAGGAGGCTTCGATGTGGACTGAGGAATACGTGGTATAAGCATTCCCTACTTAAATGGTGGCTATAGTTTTAGCAAGGCATCCAAATACCAGAGCAATTGTAAATTCTGGCAACTATCTTGAAAGTTCTTTACTGTATTTCGAAAGACTAATTGAAAGATCTGGTAACGAGGAGATCTTAGCTTTATTCTGGCTGCATTTCTTTATTCATTCTGAACGTTTGGAATAAACTTTTTTGTTTACTTATTCTTTAGAACGTTCCTGATGATATGTTAACGTATATTTCAAACGCATTCTGTTTATTCCGGCTGTGAAATGGGATTATCCGGAATGTATAAAGAAACGCAGCCTCTGTTCGCCTTTTAGCAATAAGTTCTTTATTTTTTAATACAAAAATTACCTGACCTACGGGCTGTGATGGAGCCACAGCCGCTAAACTTAAACGTAGAATACGTGATATTATTAAGATCACATTCAAGTTAAATTGTATTACCTTTTATATTAGCCTAGGTCACCGTATTAGTATTCTTCTTCATGTTCGTGCTCGTTTTCACATTATCTTCGTCTTCGGATATGTGCATAAGTTAACTAAGACTTCTAAAACAGCTGGCAACCCTCCTAAATATAGTTAAGAAATAAACAAATCTCTTGCGTCTGATATTGTGATACCCACGTATATTACACTGCATTACCAAAAAAAGTTGCGGTTTTCCCGCCGGTATTACAAAAATATATTATATTTTAAGACGTCCACCAAAATATTTCGGAAAAATTTTAAGATTTACGTGAGCTGGAGCGATTTGAAAATACCCCCAAAAATTGAGTTTTTTATGAATAAGAATTAAAGAACTTTTTGAAAAAAGTCTTCTCAGATGAGAGAACAGATTAAGCTTAGAAAATTTGCATAAATAATAAATAGTTTTAAATCTTTTGAACGGAATCGTAATAATAAGATTTTTGATGCTGTTTGTTTTTACCTTTTTCAAAGATTGATTTACGAAAAACTTGAATAACTCGGCTAAAACTATTCTGATTTAGTCTTATGGATCTCAGAAGAAAGGTATTTTCCCACTCTTTTTTTCTGTGGGAAAAAAGTCATTCGTGCCCCAATATTTTTTTTTTGTTTTCAAATACCAACACATCTTAATTCAAATTTGAATGACGTTCGTTCATCCTACCCAAGGCTAATTAATATAAGGTGATAGCAGGAGTACAAAAACAAAAATTTACATGTGTTTTGTTTTTGCTTTGGCGGCATAAACTGTCAAAATCTGTAAGAATGTGTGTAGAAATTCAAACAAAATTTTTCAATTTGATATTAGAAGCCGTGCGGCGAAACACATACACAAAATCAGCTGAGCTAGTAACACCACCTTATATAAATTCGCCTTGATCCTACCTTTCTCTTTTGTCCTTTAACCTTCTAGTAGGCCAATTTTTTTATGAGTTGAAAAATTCAGGAATGGGTGATTTTAGCACGAGAAATCCAAAAATGATGTCCATTTCGATCTGTGACAGTAACTTTTTCCTACAGGGGAGAAAAACCAAGACCGTCTGGAGACGGGCTTGCCGATATACCTTGACGTATTTTCGGCTTTCTGTTACACAATGTTGACCTACG